AAGTGGTGTCCAGCAAACCACAGACTTCTTTAAAATACACTTGGAGAATGTTTCCTTTTGGATGTATTGTTCCTCATTTCATAATATTTACCTATACTGAATTTATTAATAAATGCAGGAGGAAATTAATTATTCATTTAATAGCCTTTTGTATCTTAATGTTTCCCAGTAGTGTATCAGCTGATAAATTGAACATTACTTCCTTCTTTCTTATTGATTAAATCCTGGTGGTTGTAGAAACCACAGATTTTTTTCCCCCTTACTCTTGAGCTGTTTCAGTTTGGTAAATCTCTTGAAAACCCCTTCTGTACTTACACTAAGATTCCATCCTTTCTGTACTCTTAGTCAGTCTAACCTTATAAGCACCAACATATGCTTAAGTCCAAACAAATTGTGTCTACAACTACATTAGTGCCCTGTCAATTGCCCAACAGTCACTACATTTAAAGTATTTGTAACTGGTTAGTTTTTGTTCTTGTTTTGGTTTGTTTTTTTCCCAAATGATCCTATTCATTAAATATCTCCCATAGTTAAGAGTCCTTGAATCAACTTCCAAGAGAGCTGCACCTGTCCATTACAAAAAACAATAGTGAGATCTGATGTATTGTTCCTTGGTTTAGGGACATCCTGTGAGTAGTTTGCCTAAAACTAGCTAGGTCAAGGCCACTGAGTCTGTTGTTCCTGCCCCAGAGAGCCAGTGGCTTGTGCTGACCTTTGATCTACCTCATTAACTTTAATTTATAATTAAATAAAGGCTCTCTTTCAGGTCCTGACTGTTTACTTAATTTTTATCAATAAAATAGAAAATTACTACTCCACCTCCTAATGTAATTGTAGATGATGAGTATTTGATAATAGCTATTCACTTCCTGTGACTTTTGACCCTCTCCACATCCTGGGGAAAAAAAAAATAGAGGAATACAGCTATAGATCAAAAAATGAAGGCTTGGTTTGGGGAAGGGTGTGAGAATTCTAGAACTGAGGTCAGCTGTGAAGAACACTAACAGGAAGGACCCTAGAGATGCCTAAAACAATTCCTGTCAGCCTCTTCTCCAGAGCAGTGGAGGGGATAACAGCTGATACAACCACTACCCTTTTGTTCCCACCTTTTTTTTTTTTTTTTTTTGTAATTTTGAGGAATCTGTCAAAATTTGGCTGATCGTTGTGATCCTCTACTGATGCTTTGAAAAACTGTTTTCCCATGGAAGTAGGAGGATTTTCTCTGAATCCTAACTGTGAACAAATCCTTACAGAAGTATCCTTGTTCAGCATAATGAACCTGTTGGTGTAGCTGTCTTTGAGCTACAGACTCTTTCCTCTGTTTTCATATGGGTCTGTGCCATCATAGGTGCAATAAGCACCTGCTGTATTTACTTCATGCTCAGAATTATCAATCCATAGAGATAACGTGAGGTTATTTGTGCAGTAAAGTTACTCATTGATACAGCACTACAATAACCTGTTGCTGTCTTCCTTGTTTCTGAGGACTTATCTGTCCTTAGCTCTTCAAAAAACTTTCACCTGTCCTCTGCATTCCTGGGACTCAGGCTTTTTTTTTCAGACATGAGGTTACCTATTGTAATTTTTGATACTGGAAGAAGTTCTCAGTCTGATATCTGTTGAAAACACTAGGGAAAATTATTTCTGTGTTGCTAAACATCCTGTGCCTTTTGAAGGAGGGAGGAGGAAGGACCTCACCATACTGTCTCCTTTCCTGACCCTTTGTTCCTTGCAAACTTGAATTGCCTGTGCTGTTTATCTTAACCTCTTGTGCAATCTTTCCTCCAGTGGAAATGCCCAAGTTAAAGGCAATGGTGGAAACTGACAAAACCACAGCACCAGAAAAGCCCTTCTGATCAGAACAGGCCCCAGTTCCAGCTGCCAGGAAGCAACTTAGTGGAAAAAAAAAAAAGGTATAACAAAAGTTATATATAGTTCTGAACTTCCAAACCACTTAGATTTTACTGAGCAGTATGGAGCTTGAAGTATGGCTGGACAGTTGAACTATGATTCTTTTGTCTTTCTATAAGCTACCACCAGATGTATGACAATGCAGAGGCTTGCAGTGACACAACCATGCTGGTGACCAGCTAGTAAGTACTGTGGAGGTATCTGAGCAAGTGGGAACTTAGCCTCTCTACTTACTTACTTTCTTCAGACTCAGTTGTATGGTTCCTTGACTCTTGTCAAGAAGTCTGTCTGCTATTGCAGGTGCTATGTGCCAAAGCTGCTTTGAGGACGGATGCTCCAGGGGGGATTTTAGTGCTTCTGTACCTGGCCTGGACAAAAGTGAAGAGGTTAATGAAACCAGGAAAGGAAATAAAAAGTAACACTGAGTGTCTGCAGTGCTCTAACTGAAGCCTAGCAGAATTTCAAGGTCACTTCTGCATCTACCACTGTTAATGCGTTAAATATTTAAAATCTAAATCAGAATTACTATCAGGGGAAGATTTCTATGTGGGCATTGGTAGCTGTACTGCAGTTGTCTTTAGCATCATGCTGTGTGCATGCTCACCCTCCTAGTTAACAGCTCAGACATGGTGTGAAGCAGCATTAAAACCTAAAGGGTAACTCTGAGATTTGCCCACTTGTCAAGGGAAAAGCCTGTAGGACTGATTTTTTTTTTTCTTAAACTTCTATTTTTGGCATACCTATTTAATAGCAAGTGGGATTATTTCTATGGGAGAACAGTGACACAGGGGCAGGAACAGCAAGAATTCCAAAAGCTCTCCCTACCTTTGAGTGAAAAGCTAAGAGAGGCAGAAGAAAGCTCAGGGTTACAACATAATCCTTAATTCTACTGTATTCTCCTGTTTTATAAGCATCCAGTCTGTACCCCCCCCCGCCAAACTATTCCATCTCCTGTCCGGAGCGTGTGGAGGCTGCAGCTTCCCAGCGGCACCACCTTGTGGTCGTGGTAACACTTGTTCAAACTAGAGCCTGTTCCTTAAATTCACTTTGGAAGTTACACAATCTGTTATATTTATTATGTTATATTAAAGGCTCTTACATCTGACATCTTCCAACAATTCTCCTCCCAAACATATTTAAATAAATACAAAAATAATGCTTAAAACTCCCTGCATCTAACTTAGAGGAAGAAGAGCAGGAGCTGTAGTTTTGGTTGAACCTGTGGTTCACCTGTAACAAACAGCCTAGATCTCCCATGTGCTAGAGGGATTTTCTTTTTTCTGAGTGTTAGGTAACACCACTTGAAAACGTGGCACAGGGAATGGCCACAAAAATGTATAATTAATTATAATCTTTAATATAACTGGAGCATGACAGGAAAATGAAGAACCCTTCGTACCTTTTTTTAAAAGATGGCTCAAAACTTCTGCTGTTTTGTCAAGGTTAAGGTCCTTAAAACAGAATTTAAGTCTGACTTTGCTTTAAAGGAGCAGGTGGCACACTATTGTATCTGCAATGGTACCCAAATGGAGCTTGGATTAGTAATTCTGATACTGTGCATTTTTATCAATACTGAAGCATTCTTTGGGCTAAATCTTGTCATGAATAATTGAAATTGGTGGATCAGGAATACCTTGCCACTGCAGTCAAGCACACATTTCATTTTTATCACATAAATTCATGATAGTTTAGATATTTAGAGTTCAGCCTGGAGAAAAAGAGTTCTCTACAGACTTCTTTATGAAAAATATCCAAGTGCCAAAAAATAATGTTCAAAGACTTAGCTACAGTCCATAGCAAATGTATTGAAAAATAGCAGTTTATTAGATATATTAAATATGAATAATACTTGCCCATATGAATATATTCAGTTTGGATTCAGTTCTTACTTTTCCAACACATGCACACAGTGCTTACAAGACTTGTAAGACTGAAAACCAGCCCCAGTCCAGTAACTCATACACCTCAGAGAGCTGACAGGAGGTATTGCAGCACTGGCTTCTCTCAGACCATTTCAGACAAAAAATCACAGGCTGGTGTAACTGGAGATGACTTGTTCCAGAGCTGTGAAGCTGTCCAGGAAATCTTCCTCTTCGATTCCAAATTTAGTGTACTGGTGAATGTAGGCTCTGTGTGTTGAAATCACATGAAATCAGATCATCTAGTTATTGTAAAAACTTCAGATGAAGATGTTTTTCCACCACCCATGAGCCATGGTGGTTAGTTTCTACTGTGGTCTCCTGAATAATGCATTTTGTAATTCGTTCTTATTGGCAAGTCATTACTTGTTTCTAATAGGTTTTATAACTTTGTGTATTGCTTAAGGAAACAAATTTGCAGCTAACAACATTGAGCTAACTGGGAAATGGAAGAAGGGATTATTAAATGAGATTTTATAGATTTGAGATGCAAAGCCTAAATCTGTGTGTGCAGAATAACCTGCTTCTCATCACTGGTGTTTTTGTAAGAGGTGGTAAAAGGAGGAGCACAGCTTGTGGCAACATTTTTCCTCTTCTGGCTTTTAATTGCAGAATTCCTGTGCTAGAAACTCATGTTTGGCAGACATCTGCTGTGACATGCAGTAACCTTGGCTTCGTGATGAGCCGTGTAAAGAGGCAATTATTTTCTAGATTTCTTGGTTGTAATGACAAATCTAACTAATAGCATGGGAGCCTTAGTAAATACACAAGTCCCCTAAATGCTTCTGACCTGAGCCAGGAACTCCTTTCCTGGACTGTGCAGCATGTCTGTACACAATTTAGAAACTATATAAAAGAGTTTCTATGTGTTATTTTTAGAGTGGTCACATTGGAATGCCCTAAATTTGGGGAGTTTCAGTACTGAGAAAACAGTCCAACTGACAGCACTAGAATATGTGGTCTTGCTTATCCACAGCATATAAGCACTACTCTGTCCCCCTCACCCTGCCGTCGTGTTTCAGGCATAAAAATGTTTCCCCTGTAGTGTGGGAAGAGTCTTCATGCTTATTCACCATTAGTTTCTTTTGCTGAAAGAGTGAACTGTATTTCCAATGATTTTGCTACCCGTGAAGATATTAGCAGTTATTAGTGAAGTATCAGCATAACTATTTACACTTACTTGGAAGCAAACATATTCCAAGCTTTTCCTACAACATTGTCAAGAGGTTTCAGCAGAAACTGGCTGTTGCTGACCAAGGAAGCAGATTTTTCATACTTGTTAAATGCTCGTGGTGTTTTCCATGCATTAAAAGCATCCTGAGGGTTTATCCATGATGTATATAATGAGGGATCTTGGAAACTTCCTGTAGCAGAAATAAGACAGCCCTTTTGACAAATGTAAAGCTACACACTGCTACATTGTGAGCTCAGTACTCCTGTGTGACCAATTCAATGCTTGGCAGATCAATTCAGGCCTTAAAAACCAATCTGCAGAGGGGTCAGCCTGTTGAAAATACAACCTTAGATTATCTAGAAGCATACTCTTCTATCAGTGCTTCATCTGCAAGTTTTGCTTATCACTCCAGAAGCAGCTAAATCTATTTTCAGACAATACAGCCAAGAATCCTGTCATACATAGACTTCAGTCTCTTCCTCCTTCCCTGAAGTGCTTCAGGAAACACAGAAGTCTTGGTCATAAATATAACAGCCTGAAGGAAGTGGACTACATGGCCTTGGACATTAAAATCTTTCTACAGGGAATATTTACCTTATTAGTCAAGTATGTGGTCTTTTAAGTCTTTTTACTTTCATCAGATATAGTTGCAAAGAAAAGTGAGATGTGAACTGAGAGTCACTGAGGTACTGTGGTTTTCCTTCTCACCTAAGTCTGTGCTGTGCGTGTCTTTTCCTCGCAGGATCACCAGGTTGGCAATGGAAGTATTGAACTGTGGCAGCTTGTTTGTGGGATGACTGGAGGAGCAGGAGGTGCCTAGACGTGGGGGTCGTACTTGCCAGTCAATACCTGTGAGATTTTGGCAAAAAAAGTTATAAAAAAAAAAGTTAATATTTCATGAAATATGGTTTCAGACTAGCTGAAGAGCTGGATGGCAACTAACACTGTGCCCCAAGCTGAGATCATATGAGCCTGTAACTTCTGCACATTAGTTAAGCAGCAATTACACAATTCTCAGAGAAAAACTGCTGATCAGCAGTATTTGCCTCCTAGTCACTGGTCTCACCAGAGAAAATGGATACTTGTTTCTATACTTAGCAATCTGCCAGCCCATACTTTGCATAACTGGAAGCTCCACTGAATTCCCCATGTAAGTGATATGGGAGAGCTAAGCATGATTTTTATTGGTAGAAGGTGTAAAAAGCAAAAGCATAGCAGAACTAACTATCCAAGGAATGTTCCAAATGAATCATGTAAATTAAGGACAGGGCCAAAGACTTTTGGTTTGTTTTGAGTATTTTCAACGGTTATAATTAACTGAGATGTCTGGGAGCAAAAACTGGAGCAAGGCAGCTGAGTGAATAGTTGCAGGAGCAGCTGGTTATGTAGAGGCAAATTCCAGCTGTCAGAGGGCAGCAACTCCTTTCTGGACTCACTGCATTAGTCAGTGAGCTCCTCCAAACAACAGGCACTATTTCACCTCTAAAAATACATGGTTGAAGCATGATGCATCCTGAAGCTGAGTGAATGCTTTTTACCTTCCTCCATTTTAGCATTAGCAATGAGCATCTGCCTTAAGTGTTTGATGAGTCCAGGCCAACTGAACGTGCTGTAGGCGAGGGAGTTTTCAGGCATCTGAGGTATGTTACGCAGACCCAACATCTTGAATTCGGGATGTGGAACCAACGTCTCCATCAGCTCTCCTGAAAGAAATTCACAGCTGCTCACGTTTGACAGAAATACTGCATAGGCTGGCTGAAATAGGAGAAGAGAGAGGGGAATTTTACAAAGGCCTAGCAATTTAAAGTAAGAAAGCAGGATATGTAAGTTTTAATTTGACAAATCTATGGGCATGCATCAAAGTAACGCAAACTTGCTACATACTACTGAGTTCTGTACAAGCATGTTAGGAGCTCTTACTTTACAATTTAGAGTTGCCTTGCTTTATAGTCTGCCTCAAAATCTAGAAGACCCTATGCACAGCTTAAAGAGGCAGATGTGAAAGTTTAATTTTACAAGCAAAACTCTTGGCAGTCCGAGGAACTTTCTCTAATCCCTTAAAGATACAAATGTTGCCCTGTTGCTACCAAGTTGTGTGCTGGCCTGTTTTCTGCCTAAACAAACCACAAAACTTACACTTTGTTTCAGTTTATACAAACTTCTAATGTGAAATGTAGAACTTGGTCCAAAATTACTGTCCTGCAAAAGTTTCCTCTGAACTGTAAATAGGTACAAGGGTGTCTGTAATCACTTGAAAAAGGAGAAAGAGGGTTCTTTTGGTAAAGAATGAAATAGGCAAGCTGGGGAATCTATTTTTGACTCTGCCTCAAAATTAGGATTGCACTTCTAATGTAAGTCTTTTGCTTCTCTTCTCCTATCTTAAAGCTTGGGATGTATCTAAATACTTAAGTTAGGGCACTGAAAAACTTAAATTCACAACAAGAAAAGACAACAAAGCAGTGCAAGGACAGGTGAGGCAGCTGGACTGTAGGTACCTAAGGGGTTTCTGCTATAGCATGATCCTCCTGCTGCTGTGTAAGCGGGCTGGAAAACACTCCCCAGCTGATGGGCAATGACTCGATTCACATCCCTGAAGGAGATCTGCTTAATGTTCATCCGCTGCGCACAGATCTGGTGGACGACATCATTCTCGTGAACAAGAAGGGCATCTGATGACTGGTACAGGTGTGACAGAGTCAAGACAGAGTTGTAGTTTTGAACAATGACCTGGAAACAAGTGAAATAACCACACACAAATGAGAGTCAAACAATCTCTGGTTTATAATCCTCTGGCTACTGTAATTTCCTCAGTTATGGTTTAGGGAGTGATTAATTTTCTTCGTCAAAGTGCAGAGTGAGGTCAGGAGCTAGCAAAGCATTTTTATGGAAAGAGCAAGACTTGTGAAAAACTTGTTACCCACAACCCTTCATACAACAATGCTAGAATAAAATCTGTCTGGGAACTGCTGAGATTCTATCCCAACAGAAGATTTCTAGTTAGCTAATAGAGCTCCTCATGAAACTGTTATACTTTAGCACTTACCACCAAGAATCCTTTAAAACGAAAAAACATGTACCAAATATTAAGGAAATAATTTGCTAGCTGCCTGACTTTTTGTCATGTTGAACTTTTAAAAAGTAAGAAGTACCTCTTGTCTAGTTTATTTCATTTGCAGATGTTTTAAGTTTAAAAGTAAACAGTGATTATAAGCTTAGAGTGTCTCTGGGAAATATGACACTCACCTCCCCCGTGCCGTAGGGCCAGATAACATGGTTCAGTATAAATGAGGTTGGAAAGGCATCTCTTAAACACTGGGTCACAAATGCTCCCAAGCCAGATCCTGTTCCACCAGCCATGCTCATTATTGTGAAAAATCCACCGAGCCGATCACATTTCTCTGCTTCTTTTTGCACCAGATTCATTATTGCTTCTTTGTGTCTAGGCCCGTGAACAGAATAACTGTTGAGTAACAGACAAAACAGTGAGGCATGGCAGGTTATAGCAAAATAAAAGCAGTAAGGTGAAGCTATTCATAAAGCATATTAATTATTTCTATAATTTCATGTTATGCCATCCATTCTACACACAGTAAACAGTCCTCAGCTGCAAGTTATTTTGCACGGCAGCTGTTTATAAAATGTGCTTACTGTTTCCTATCCTTAAATACCAATTTCACCTTGCAAAAAGAAGTTTACACACTTTGCTGCTATATATTGCTCCTCTAACTGGAAAATAAATCCAGTTAATGTTAGTACCAGGCCTAGAGAGCTCGTTAACCTCTACAGTTCCCCTTGTGAAGCTTGAAGTGATGGCTCGTACCCGTTTGCCCAGTTGTTCCCAGACCCTTGCTTCTGGCAGAACTGTGACCTGTCATTGTATCTCCAGGAGCCAGACCTGGCAGCCATTGATAAGGTTTGGCTGATGACTTTAGGTTCCATGTCAACAAGCACGGCCCGGGCAACAGGTACTGGATAGGAAGAAAAACAAAAGTAAGAACAATGTGCCAATATTAGAACTTTTTTAATGTAAGATGGACAGACTCACACCATGGCCTAAATTGTATTCTTCCCACCCACTTAAGCTAAACTATTTATTTAGTGGGGCAGTACAGAACGGACGTGGCAAGGCCCTGAATTTCTGGAGAACCTTCTATTGTTCCAAAGACAATCTAAACACTAGAGAGGATAAATCTTTTGGGAAAGAAACCACTTAACGGATTTGATAACACCAGATTCAGACACTCTGGGTTCTAGTCCATGATCTACCTACAGAAGAAAATGCAGATGCTTGGAAGGACAGGTTAGAGGTGTACGTATGCTCAGTTTCCAGCTGACTTGCTCTGTGGTCTCAGACACCTCACTGCTCTGAAATTGCTTCCATGGTTGTGAGCAGTGTTGTGAAGGCAGAGGGTTGCAGCAATTCAAGACTGCAAGTAAAACTCATTCTTCAACTAGAGGTAAAAGACTTCAATTATTTCTGTACTTTAATCTGTATTAGGCTGTCAACCAGACCCTGTGTGGGAAACAAGTGCTGTACCTTCAGATTCCTCCTCGCAGAAAAAACGTTCTTTGCAAGCCTCGTGGTAGGAGTCGTTCTCCTTTCTGGAGCACAGCCCGTGTGTGCCATGGACATCACTGCAGACAGCACTGAACACCTCATGACCAATTTGATTACCACACTGGCCAAGCTGGACTGTGACTATTGACATTCTTACTCACTTTGTATTTAAGCCTAAAAAAGAAAAGTACACCTTTAGTAACTGTGTGGAAAAGAGAAGGGGGGGGAAAAGTTCCAACAAGTAGATTTCTGAATCAGTTTTGCTATTTTTTGAGACCCTCTTGTGAGAGGGAAAAGGCTCTGCTACAACCACTGGCTGGTTTTGGGGAAAAGCAGCCTGTCAGCACTTTCTCCTGAGTGTCAGAAGAACGCAGATAGCAGTTCACAGGGAATCAATCTGTTTACTGATGCTGTATATCTGGAAGGAGCTGAAAGCAACCATACAGTAAGCAAAGTCTTTGTTTTCTCACTTTTGCTTAGTGAGGCGGGATAGAAGCAAATAATTATAACTCAAAACAAAGATATAACTTTCAGCTATAACAACACAATAGGAAAGTACCATATGCCTTTAGGAATGTGAAGCCTGTTCAAAAATCTAGCTGATTTCCAATCCTGCAGTGCTATGGGCCTGATGCCAAAATCTGCAGAGGTGACAAAAGGATTCCCTAGAGTGTTCCCCTTGCTTCCACCACAGAGCGACACATTTTTGATTCAGTACTAGTATGTTTCGACAGGCTTTTTTTTCCCCACTCAGAATTTTGCAGTAACTCTGGTTTCTCACTTTTCTACTCTCCTTTCACAGAAACAAGGTCAATTTCTTTATAAGTCACTTCATTACTCTGGGCTGCAATTTTTCATTACCATCCCAGGTGTGCCGCAACACTTCTGTAACAGCATTTTTGGGATAACCGCCAGCACCTCTACTTGATCCTGCTGCATTTTGCAGGCAGGTTTGTGCTATTTTTGATTCCCGGGCTTGATTTCAGCACTGCTGCCAGTCTGCGTGTTCCCGCAAGACCGAGTTACTCCTCACCGCAGAAAATAAATACAAGAAATAAAGAAAGACGTGTATTATTTCCCATGCTTGATGCCGACCCTCCCGCGCTACTACGGGTGTGCTCTGCCCACGGCAGCGGGAGCAGGCAGCTCTCGCCTGCACCCTCCTCTCTGAAGCTGCCGCCGCCCGCCTGCCTGGGGAGACCCCTCG